CGTTATATCCACGATAAGGGTTTGACTGCAAACTCGCAGGGGGCTACAAGGGAGGCTACCCTCAGGTAAAATAGATGTGCTTTTGTAGAAAATGTCTGCTCACCGCATAGATTTCAGCAGGAAAGTAGCTCAGAGCCTGAAGTAACCGAAGGCTCCGCCGATTGCGGAACTCCGTTCATTTCACCGCCCAGTTCACCGTCGGTTAGTCATGCCGTCAAAACCTGGACTGGTCTAATGATAACGATAACGAAATTCACAATCTGATCGCTGAGAAGAACAGGTCGCACAAAGCGTACATCTAACACAGAAATGACGCAAAGAAGGCGAACTTCTTCGGACGTCGTCTCTTTGTGAGGAAATGAATGCGGGAAATGCCCGGATGGAGACAAAGGCCAGGGAAAACAAAGGGTAGGCCAGCCGCAGCGAAAAGGGGTAGTCTATGGCATCAGCATCAAAGAAACCGCGCATCATCTCAGCTCCGACGGGACAATACTTCTTAGAGAGAAATCTCAGATTATTAAGCGTAGCGCCGAGTACTTCGGAACTGTCCTCAAAGGCCCATCCAATACTTGACGGCATTTATACTAGCTAAAAGCTCAGATAAGTGTTTGGCCGATATTCTCTCGCGAAATGACAGCTGCGAGGTGTTTGGCTCATCAGTGAGTCCCCCAGGTTTCCCAGTGAGCTGGTGGATACTCTAATTTTGAAATTGCAGGTTTTAGATTTGCTCAGAAATTAATCGCTAACTTGGAGTAGATCAGTCTACTAGAGACTATGAGACGCGACGAAACATGCGAAATCGTCGTCTTTACCTTGTTCAGACCCCACATATAACAGGCGGTCTTTGGACAAATTCTAGATAGGAGGGCCACCGACCCTCGTGTCTTTCCCACGCGACTGATTCCCCCGCCCAGGGGATGTCTCAGCACCGAATATGGCAACGGAAAATCATAACGCTTGTTGGTGGATTGATGGACTGAGAATCGTAACTCGAGCAGTCGCGGCTCACGCGGTTATCATCTCTTGCAAAGATTTCGGCTCCTTGAGCTTCGAAAATATTGCCGACCCCCTGGAATGAGCCGCAGCCTGAGAGCTGGCGTCTTTCCTTCTCAGTGCTGCTGCGTGCTCGGCCACTCGTGTCCGGATTAATCTCCCAGTTTCTCCGACGGTTAGATTTGATCCCTGGTATCGTTTGCGTATATACTAGTTAACAAAGCTGCGCGGGTAATTCTCAGTACCGGTCGAGATAGTGTACTTCAGCGACCTTGTCCTCCATTTCGCTTTAATGCATCTCAACGCGCTGGTATAGTTCCCTTGCACAACCGCGTTCTTGACTGATCAGGTGGTAGCTGCTGAAGTTTAGTACTTGCGTCGTATTTCCTGTTATCCTGAATACTTTAGTTTTTGGGCCATCACAATCTTTGCGGCAAACTAGGACATCCAGAGAGGCCAGCTGTTAGTTTTCTTCCTCCTTCATCCTAAACTAAATGTCGGGGAAGACGGCGTTGAGATGTTGTTTGAAGTCCAGCACCTGATCCCGTTCGATGACGACGAAGGTGTCATCCACGTATGGACCCCAGAATTTCGGTCTGTGGTGTTGGAAAACCAGCGAATACAACCGTTGTAGGACGGCTTTGGCTATGAGTCTCGAAACCGGTGGACCCATTGGCGTTCCCTTCACCTGCTCGTAGATTGTTCCGTCAAACGTAAAGTACGTCTTGACCTCATTTGGCAAAAGACTTACCCCTTTAAGTTTCACCAGGAACTGCGCTGGCGAGCTGACTGTTGTGGTTGAATCGGAGGTCAGAAACTTACGACGTCAAAACAGCCACTTTGCCAGTCCGTAAGTTGGAGTACCTTCAGTGATACGATTGGTCGGAGAGTAAATTGAGTGCCCGATAAGACGATGATGAGACGTTATTTGAGTGTCAGCAGTTGACCTCGAACGATGACGACAAAGGTATCATCCACATACCGACCCCAGAATTTCTCTCTATGATGTCGGAAAACCAGCGACTCCAACCGTATGAACGATCGGTGAGCCCCCCTAACATTGTATATTCCCGAGCAAAAGCCGACAAGGCAACGGGCTCGTGGCCCGGTGAGTAGAGGCGTTGACTTCTAAACCAACAGGTCGCGAGTTCGAGGCTCGGGTGTTCCACACTTCGGGCTTGGGTATGGCTGGCTGACGACGGCTAATAAGCCAGAAATGGCCATTCCAGTCTCCCTTGTCTTTGTCGGCGATACCATTCTGCCTATATATCATGCGCCGCTGTGCGGCTGCTGGTTGGGCTCGAGAGAGAATCCATAAGGCACAACGGAACGAGTGAGTTCCGTATGAACGATCGGTGAGCGCCCCCTAACATCGTTGTAGGACCGTCTCAAGTGAGAACCGAAATCGGTGAAATCATTTGCATGTCCCCCAACAGTCTCCAGTGATGTGTTCGAGTGACAGTCCAAAACGTCAGGCCAATAAACCTCTTCTGCGCTGCTTCCTGGATCTCGGAAATAAATAAATTCCAGGGAGGAGGGTACTTACTCTCGCGTCCTAACTTAAACCCTCCAAACTTTTATCCTAACACCGACACCCACAACCCTAACCTTCCTAATCGTAACTCGTTTTGAAAGTGCATATTTAGGTTTTGAAATGGTCTCCCGATTCCCGAATAAATCCGAGCTTGATCTGCCGTTGCATTAGCGTTTAGCGATTTCAGACTACAAGATGCATGCTTTGCGCGTAAGGAAAACCATATATTCCACTATGCCTTTAAGAAGATAGCATACAGAGTTCATAAATTTTTTCAGTGGATGCGGACTATGCTGTACATTTAATGGGGAGCATTGGTAAACGGACACGTGCGATGTTGTGTGTATGGACATCGAACGGTCTTAAAATGTGAAGAATGCGCGCCAGTTAAGTAGTCAAATTTACCGAGTGTGGTTTTTGCAGGAGGTCGAAAAGAGGTGCACTCAAAAGCCGACATCCTGTCCAGTCCGAAATACAGTGGGCGGGCTAACTCCTGAAATGTTAATCGAATTTCCGAAATGCATTTTCGTTTCGAAAAGATTAATTAAGTGGGGTTGTAAAACTAATCACTGTGAAGCGTAATTCTATAATAATTCAGTTACTTCAGGATGCCGGCTTCCGAAAGAACTTCCTTTCGGCTGCATGCAAAAACTACACTCTGTAAAAATGACTTCTTGATTAGCATAAACTTTTCTCATTCATTTTCGATGCCCCTAAAAGTCCAATTATATTTCATGGAAAACATGCATAAAAATATTCGTCCATTAGCTTATTCGGTAGAAAATCACGTCTTCTTCCAATTTTGTACCCAAATTAAAGGTATAATTCGGTTAAAAAAAAGCTCCTAATTCTGAGATTTATTGGTACCGTGAAATGGCCGTTCATAAGACGTCATGTCTCTGTATTTACCAATGAAGCTTGTAAACTTAGCAATATGGTTCGAGTCTATTGTTAAATTTTATGAACTCCATACGGTCGCATCTTAATACCGTAGAGGAACGTATGGTTTTCCGTACGCAGAAAATATACAGCTTGCAGTTTGGAAACTCCAAATGCAAGTGTAACGGCAGCTCGGGTTCAAGTTTATTTGGGAATTGGAAAAGTTTTTATCAAAACCGAATTATATCCTTACTTCGAGTATAAAATTGAGAGAAGATGTAGTGTTCTACCAACTGAACGAAAGGATGAATATTGTTATGCGTGTTTTCTACGAAACAAAATTGGATTTTTATGGGCATCGAAAATCAATGAGAAAAATGCATGCTACTTAAGTAGCCATTTTTTTTACCGAGTATAGTTTTCGCAAGCAGCCGGAAAGATGCGTATTCGAAAGCCGGCATCCTAAGGTACTTGAATTATTATAGAAGTATGCTGCATGATGACTAAATTCACAACCCTATTTAATCAATTTTTTCGAAACAACGCATTTCGGTTGAGGTTTCATGAGTTAGCCACAGCATCCAGGCCATCATGCGAAATGAATTCCTCCGCATATCGGCACACAAGGTAAACGGCAGTGGAGCGTGGAGTCCGACAAAACGGATATGAATGAGGTCGAACTGCGTGGTATTTGCACGATCTACCGAGCCTACATGAGCGTCGGTCAAGGGACAGGCTTCCCAGTCGGGTTTTATTCTTGCAGGAAATTGGGCGGAAGTACGCAGATGGCACAACCCACCGTGACAAGAAGGGTGCACTCAAATCCTACCGTGAGCTCGAGTTCACCCTCGAGCTCGCGTACACGGGAGACTTCCGACCTCGGGGCCCCCCAGCTACGGTCCTAACAGCGTCACGGAGCACCCTTCACAAGGGATTTGCGATGGTTTAGACTACTAGGAACAAGGAAGCACACACACAGGCAGACGATCTTTGCCGCAGCCCCAACTGCATGCGGCTCGCTTCGCGAGGCATAGATAAAGGAATGTCGAGTTTCTCAAGTCTGGCGGCGGTCCGGCGGGCATCTTAAGCTGCAGGATGACTCTACCCCATCCACTGACAAAATTCTCCCGCCTGCCTGAGATGGCGTTCGGATGACCTGTCTGTGCTACAATAAATATATTCTACTCAAACCCGAAACGGGTTATTTGGGCTTAGATTTGGCCCGCGAGAGCATTCGGAGAAACCCCAAAGTGCAAGCTATTCACTTCCACCAGGTGGAAGGTCATATCACAAATCTTAACAGAAAAACTTAACGCTTCACGCGGGCGGATTGACCGATGCTGCCCCTTAAGAATAAAAGCAGACATATCCACCCAAAACTAGATTATCGGAGACGGAGTGGAAAGAAGGGGGGATGGGGGGGAGAAGGCAGATGGGGGAAAAATTTGTACATATCGGTTGGTCCAGGGGGCAGAATGACTGACAGAGCTTCAAAAATGACAGCGTTTCCATTCTCGGCAGACCTAGGCCCATTGGCAGGGAATATGGCGTCCAAAGGCAAACAGCAAAAACCATAAACTGCAGAGTTCTGAGGTTATTCTGGCGCGTAGTTCAGTATCTTCCTGCGGCAGGAGCGTAGGAACTTCACTTCGCGATGATAAAGACCGAGTAGTCCCGTCACGCCTATGTAAAGCACGCCTCCCTAAAGTGCAAAATGGTGGTTAAAGAAGCAATGACAGAGAACACGCTGGTGAACAATCGGTTACGGTAATGCATCACACACACAGTCGGATTTTCAGAATAGACAGTCACATTTATACACACCGAATGCTAAGTTGCTTTCTGGAGACGCTGATTAAGGCCGCGCTCGAGAAAACGAGTATTATTACAGGACAGTGGGGGTCGGGGGTGCCCCCAAACGGGCTATGTGGGAGATGCGCTGGACCACCATGGGGGACCTATCAGATTCTGGCAGGCTTTATCGGGTTGCGCACCATAACAAATGCCAACATATCGGGGTGCGGTGGCACACCCGGTTGCCGGCAGACGTCGCGCACACTGGGTCCCCTGCCCATTCTTGTTGTTGGTCAAAAATCTGGTCCTTTGCTGTGTGGACCACGGGGGTGGAGTGGAGCGTCAAGGCGCGGGCTCGACCGTGCCATCCACCTGCGCCCTCCCCCACCTCCAGTCTTCTTGACTCTGTCTTGACGCCGGATCAAGGTGGAGAAGGGGAGAGAGTGCGGTAGACGCTGTGCAAGTCTACATTCACGCAGAAGTAACTGTTCCTGCTCCATCTCGTTGTGGAGCACACGGTGGACATCGTCGACAACGACGGTCGAGATGTCGGATGTCGGTTTGACGGAAAAGAGGGCCCATTGTAGCACACCTGGCACAGGCGTTCAGAGTTCCAAGATTGTGTCACACGGTGGTGGATGAAGCCCTACCGGGTGCTCTCAACATCCGTCATATAGCAATACTACTACGGGCATGGTCTGAAAGTCTATCAATTGACGGGAACACTCAGCCTTTATCGGGATTGAAATGAAGTCTGCAATGTCGCCCCAATGAAATTTTCAGCTACGCAAAGTCCGAGTCGCCTTATAGGCCAGGGGCTGGGACCAGGTCGCGTTCAGCGTGCGCTAACGGGCCGCTCAGTTTCGTCAGACATTGCGCTCAATCTTACAAATACGTGTTTGACGGGCCAATCTGACTGGTGCATCAAAGCCGGGAAAAGAGTATGCGGTCGATACAGAAATTCACCATAACGACATAACCGCAAGAAGTTGGTTGAGAGAGGACAAACTGCGACAGATTCTGCGCAAGTCTGCCCAACCACGAACGAATTCGCGCGCAAGTCGTTGGTGTTGGGCCAACCTGGAGGGACGGCATCGGGCGTCGTTTATTAGGACGGTTAAGCTCATTTTTAAAACTAACTGAATTTCCAGACAGCAAGACTTCAAAGCAGTGTTGCTGCAGTCCCCTCCGGGGGGTGTTTGGCCAGCCACCAATGACAGCTCGCATAGAGACTGTGCAGCAAGTGAGATGGAAGGTGATTGGTCCGTGTTCCCGCTCTTAGTGTAAAGGTCGGCATCGACGACTGTGATGAGGAAAGGAAACCTGCGGGTAGTGACGCAAGTGCAAAGAACCCGCGGCCGTGACATGAACGGCCGCCACGGACACAATGGAAAGCATACAGAAGTCTCGAAAAAAACGAATAAAAGGCTCTTCGACCCCCCACGTATGTGCAAGAACTTGGGGACTATAAACTGGAATTTCTGAGTGTACTGCCTGACAGGAAAACCCCTAAGTGTGGGTTATGATGCTGGTTAAACGAGATGGCAGCCCCGTCGTCGCAAGCGACGACTTCCATCACGTGCTCCACCGAGTGGGTGCAGCACCAGCGACTTGCACAGCATCTACCCCACTCCCTCCTCCCTCAGTTGCAACGAACAAGCCATCAATGGCGAACAAATCAGGACTGCATGATCGCACAGGCGAACGCAGCAGCTAAGGTTTTCATATAAAGGTTTAGAGGTGAGAGAAAAGGCAAACAAAGAGCAGATCGCAGTCCTACGCACAGACAGAGTTCGCAGGAGGTCTGACTCAATCTGTGGGAAGAAGACGCGACCACAGAAGACAGAAAAGGTTGGTAATAGCAGAGCACTGCATAGAATCCTGGGGATGGCTCCGAGTTCGAAGTTGGATCGGGGGTCGTTGGCCTCCTCGAGCCGCCAAGACGGTATATCTGAGAGAAAAGTGAAGAGCAGGGAGAGGGAAGGAAGTGAGGATTCAATTAGGTCAGAGCATACGAAAGGAGAACTTGACACCGCCAAACCACAGATCACAGTCTAATTGTTGAAGGTAGTAGATGGGACAATCAGTGATTCCAATCTCAGCATCAGTTGGTTGACCGGCTCGGGCATTCGAGCGGTGCACGGAAAAGGGAAGACGCTTAGCGCACAATTCTCACTATAAAAGATCTGACGTGGTTCAGACTACCACGGTGGGCTAAAAGCCGTGAGGTCGAAGGTTTTCGACTGAGGATGCAAATCAGACCACGCAGTCAGGCCAGTGTGTGTTTGTGTGCAGTGGTCTACTGAGTCAGACTGCAATGTCTGACGTTTCGGATTCTCATTTGAACCCAGCATCAGAGACAATGACAGAAAAGAGTGACTCGTGCACAGGAAGTTGCTGTATTTATAGGATGCAGTCGCCGTGCTACCGCATACCGCGCTTCCCTTGATCAAGAATTGTTGACCGCTGGTGCGCTAATGGCTTGATGGCCGGCATGCAAGTCGCTAATTCCTGAAATCACATCACTCGTGTTGGATGCTGGCGTGATGATTGCTCGGCCATTTGGCTCAAAGGCTTGCGCACTCCCCGAGTGGTCAATTCTTTTTGGCTAGCCGATGCCCAAGCACGGAATATGGAGTGTGGATGTCGTTGCACTTGCTAATAGACTCAGTTCCCGTGAACCATGACTCAAGCAACTCGCGGCTCACGCGATTATCCCCTCTCGCGAGAATTTTGGCTTCGTTGAATTTGAATGTGTGGCCGGGTCTCGTCGAATGGGCCGCGACCTGAGAGTTGGCGTCATTTCTCCGCACGGCTGCAGCGTGTTCGGCAATTCGCGTCTGGATCACTCTTCCTGTTTGCCCAACGTAGTTCCTTTGCCCGCAACTACACGAGACCCGGTAAGGGACTCCAGATATTTCTTGCAGTTGTCATCTACCAGCGTTTTGCAAGCTTGTAGAACTTCTTCCTTTTAAGATCCATCTCTTCCTTCTCTCTTCTCCTCTGACCTATTTAATTAAAAAGCGCGCAAGCCGGTGAGCCAGATGGCCGGTATGCCAAGCATACGGTAGCATGGCGACTGCATCCAACAAATACTGCAACTTCCTGTGCACGAATCACCGGTTTCTGCCACTGTCTCTGATTATGGGTTCAAGTGAGAATCCGAAACGGCAGGCGAATAAGGCCCTTGTTCTGGCGATCGCTTCTTCTTCTTCTTCTTCTTCTTCTTCTTCTTCTTCTTCTTCTTCCTTCCTCTTCTTCCTTCCTCTTCTTCCTTCTTCTTCTTCTTCTTCTTCTTCTTCTTCTTCTTCTTCTTCTTCTTCTTCTTCTTCTTCCTTCTTCTTCTTCTTCTTCTTCTTCCTTCTTCTTCTTCCTTCTTCCTTCTTCCTTCTTCTTCTTCCTTCTTCTTCTTCTTCTTCTTCTTCTTCTTCTTCTTCTTCTTCTTCTTCTTCTTCTTCTGATCAACAAGTTCCTGGAAATCGCATCTTCGCTTGTATTGGCAGATGGAAGGACGCTGAAATAAAAGAGCGCTCGATGGCCAAAGAATCCGGATTTGGACCCCAGGTTACCCAGGCGTGGTAGGCTGACGATGATAACTGATAGCAGAAGGAATGATAACGGGTTGGGTATGGCCGGCCGACGACCGCCAAAAAGCCGGCAGTGGTCATCCCGATCTTCCTCGTCTCTGTTGGTATTCCTTGCATGCATCGTCGTCACACGGTCGCCTATGAGGACACTAGACTGAGCCCTAAGGCACAAAGCGGAGGGCATTTGTCTTAACCCAAACGGTGGACGTTCTTCCACCGCAGTTGATATTCCCGACCGCGGACCAACAAGACAAAGGGCCCGTTGCTGAATCGTAGAGCCTGGATCTGAAAAATGCCCAATGCCCAATGACCAAAGAATTCCGATTCGAATACTCGGTTTTCAAAAGACAGGATAAAGTGTGGCTGGCTGACGACGGCCGTCCTGGTCTACTTTGCCTTCGGCTATGTTTCCTTGTCCATTAATACTGGTCGCTATGCGACCGTCTGCGAGGACGCTGTAATCTGATCAGTGGAGCCCATTCGACGACTGATTGCAAATACGTGGGCATCAGGTAGCGAACAGGTCGAGTATGTTAATCTGCGGCGAGAGGGCGATTAAATTACCCTAACACAGCGTGTTGCCAGAATAAAATTTATATAGGCCCAGAGGAGGGCCGTTAATATTACGAAGGCGACCATTTTGGAAGTGCCCGAGGCCAGTTTATCGTTTCCGATTTAGGTCCATATTAGGTCTGGTAGTTTAAAGGGTGCCTTTGAATAACACTTGCTCTGCTTGAACTCCATCGTTATCATACAATTATTCCCCCTCACCCCCCCCCTTCTGCTCAGTTTCTCAGTACCTTCTGAAAGAGGAGTACAAAGTAATCCTTTTATTTTAAACTTTATCGTGATAAATAATGTTTTGTTGGGGACCCGTGTGGGTAACGCGTATAAAGCTTTGAACGCCAGACCGAGTGATTTGCTATGGATGTTTGGAGCTGCCGGGATATCACGACAGTTCGACCATCGCAAGTGACGGCATCCGTAGCGTGAATCCACTTATGGTGGGATAGGCTTGCGAAGCATCTGCCCCACTTCTCCACCACCGTCTGCGCGTGCCATAGTGGAGACGAGATGGTGTGTGGCACGTGTAGATGGACTATTTGACTTCATCAGTCACGACGCCCGAGCTCACCTCCTATCGTCCTGACCTTGCCATGCAATCGGAGCAAGATAGGTGAGGGAGGGCAGGGTGTGATAGATGCTACTCAAGTCTACCTCACCATAAACTGCTGATATTCCTATAAGCCTGCACGACCGGGGGCTGTTTGGTGATACACGAACACGACCCATCGGCCGGACTCACCTGCAGGAATGAAGTATCGAAAGGGCGCTATCTTGCGAAGGTGCTTCCGCCACAGTCGCAACAGGAAATCCTGCCAGCCAATGAACTTGCTGAGGATGAGGACAATGGGAATGGCTGGAAGGCCTACGAGGAGGATGACTGGGTCTGTGCGCTCCATAGCGTCTAGGCCGGAGCCGTGGCCATAGACCTGCATCACAGTAACCGCGCCATAAGTGACTGCGGACCAGTAGAGACAGCCCACAAGAAGACCGCCAAATAAATAGGAGCAGGTGAGGTCAGTGACGCGATCGAAGGCATCCAAGAGGACGAGGAAGGTGTCTATTGGGGAGCGGGGGGGGGAAGTGGGGCAAAAAGACATGTTGGTTGTGAGTTATCATCCATGCGATGGAAAGCAAAAGAATAAGATAGTGAGGCAGAGGAGGGTATATTATTGCCAAGTTTCGGCGAGTAACTTATGGAAACACCGAAAACAGCGCGTTATAGTAAGTTTACATGTTTGGAGGGATTGCTGGTTAAGGCTTCGAGGCACGAACAACAAAGGACAAATACGCATATACATATTTCGTAAGCATTGAAGATAGACATCCCAAGTAGTAGAATTTGAAATGAGATAGGTTATTGTTCCATAAACCTATAGTATTTTAACATACAGTAGATGTGCTAGCTCATGAAATGTCAACCAAAATTTCGAAATGCGTTCTCTTTTCGAAAAGATAAATTAAGTAGTGTTGTAAAACTAATCATGATGTAGCATAAACCTATAACGATCCAGTTACCTCAGGGTGTCGGCTTTCAATAGAACTTATTTTCGGCTGCATGCAAGATCTACACTCTGCAAAAAATGATTACTTAAGTCGCATGCAATTTTCTCATTGATTTTCGATGCCCTTGAAAATTCAATTATATCTCATGGAAAACATGCATAAAAATATTCATTCTTTTACTTATTCAGTAGAAAATCACGTCTTCTTCCAATTTCATACTCAAAAGAAGAGTAGAATTCGGTTTTAAAAAACCGAATAATTTTGAACCCGACCTGCTGTTACACTTTCATTCAGGGTTTCAAAACTACAAGCTGTATATTTTCCGTGTACGAAAACCATGCATGTCTCTACGGTATTAAAGGAGACCATATAGGTCTCATAAAATTTAGCAGTAGATTTGATCCGTATCGTTAATTTTACAAGCCCCATTGGTAAATGCAGAGACATGACAATTTATGAACGGCCATTTCACGGTATTTAAAAGTCCAACAATTAGAAACTTTTTAAAACCGACTTATGTCCCTCCCCGAGTAGAAAATTTAAAGAAGATGTAATTTTCTGCCGAATGAGCAAAAGAATGAATATTTTATGCATGTTTGCCATGAAATATAATTGAATTTTCAAGGGCATCGGAAATCAATGGGAAAAATTCATACTATTGAAGTAGTCATTTTTTACAGTGTAGTTTTTGCATGCAACTCGACGGAAATTCATTCGAAAGCCGGCATCCTGAGGTAACTGAAATATTATAGAATTATGTTGCAGACTGAGCAGTTTTGTAACCCTACTTAATTAATCTTTTCGAAACGAAAACGCATTTCGGAATTTCGGTTGACATTTCATGAGTTAGCCAATCTACTGTAAGACACTCTGACGGTTTGAAAAGCGTCCAATTTATTACAACGGGGACAGTTAACTAAACAAGACGTGCCTCACTTTCTTACCCCTCTTCTAAGACGCAGCAACAGCCCGACTGACAAGGTTGGGTGCAATAACTGACCAGGCACTTCGTCCAGTAGCCATGAGTCACTCTGGGTTCCCCAAAATCCCCCCCCTCCCTAGTTCTGGCCGCACAACACTGCCTGTCTTTTGATCCGGAAGGCGTGCTCGCATATGCGACCTCAACGGGACCCCTTTACCAGGCCATAAACAGATACTGCTGCAACTTAATGAAACACAAATGGCAAATCAGGAAGGGATGCCCAACCGACAATGATAACGGAGGCGTTGCGGGAATAAGCATCGTCTGAGTAAACCTGGTTGAAGGCGAAACCCCGAGAGGCGTCTAATGTTGCAGGCGCCAAAAAGTGTACAGTAGGTAACAAAGCCCTTGAAACGTTGGCCCAAAAGTCAGGTGGAATTGCAGGAAACAACCCCACGGAAGCCAACCCGCCTCTGACTTAGCAACTTCTCAGCTACCTGACAAACGAAAACTCAGAAAGACGTAACTGTTTACTCTATCATGGGATAGTAGGTTCAACCGGAACTTTTGTAAAAGACGAGGAGAATCTGTATAAAGTCTTAAAAACCGCCGTGATCGTGCGTGTGGCACTAAGCTCAGCCCGGAACTGCACAAAAAATAGTTTCTCAGGTCCATTTTGTAGACAGGTGCGTCTCCTTCCAAGAATATGCGTGAAGGAAAAGAGCCATTCGGTTTTCAGAAATTGTACAATTATGATAACTTCCGAGACACTGGGATGATTATTCATGTCGTATGCTACCGTCGGGTCTATTAGCTGTATTCATAAAGTCTGCAGCGTCATGCACATCTGACGCAACGATCACATGAGCGTCATGGGGTGTGCAAAGTAATGTCACTTTTCTTCGGAGAAAACGGATAGCATATAGCTTGGAAACCCAAAGGGCTTCGGCACAGATAACAAAAACACCGCCACGTACAGTTCCTGCCATGGTGACGTGGAATGCCATCTTACGCGTTCATGCGATGATACCCCCCCCACAGCAAATGACACCAGAAAACCGGCAATGGTGCACCGAGATTTTGTGATGCACAACCAAACTCGTCAGTGGGTCGGTGGAGGCAGAAAAATGGTAACGAAACCCACCAACGACACCACACCCAGTTTTCGCATGAGCTTGTATTTTGCTCGGAGATGTTGATGGAAAAAAACAGGGTGGAGTTTTGGGATGATAATGATGACGATGGTGAGGCGTGAAATGGGGGAATTGCCGGTACGCTTCTGTCTACCAGCACAGGTTTTTTTTGATCACGCGACCTACCTAGTGGCGCAACAGACTACGTCAGGCGTTTGACCTTGAGCGACTGCTGCTCACCTAACAAACAACACGTTCACCTTGCCAGGCAAGTCACCTGGTTGACAACCGCAGTTTCACACGCCTCAGTAATTCAGAAAAAAATAGCGTGCTTTCAACAATTACCTATAACCTGCTCTTAAGGAGTAATGCATCAATTTAGTAGTGACCTAATTGCGAAAAATTCGGTGGGATTCGAGCCCACGATAGCAAGGGCCAGCACCGTCACTGTTGGGAGTGCCTACACTCCCAAAACCAAGAGCCAGCCAATCACTGGAGGCCACGCGCGTTTCTTCTACAGCACTGTTATCTTAATCGTGGCGCCTCTCCATTGGCTTTTCTCCTCGGGCCTGATCGATCTGCATATTCGAATTATCGACCAGCTCGTCTGGAATGTTCTTCTCGAAGGGTATTGGGCAAAATGCCCGCGAACCACAGTAGGGCGTTATAAATATGCGTTACTTCCAGTTTATCTTGACTTGCAATTTCCTAATACCCATTTTCGTGGCCGGTCGCCTTCTCCTTCTCTGCCGCGTTGGTATTGGGAACAAGAGTCGGGTGCGCATACGCTCCCACGTGCTTTCAAGTACGAGGCCGGGTCATAACAGTTACCACCTGAACTATGAGGGTCCATCGGGAGCTGTGATTTTAATCACATCCGGGTCAAGTCACCCGCCCAACTTACTGCAACGTATGAAATTCAGTAAGCTGGCTAACCCAACAGGATTTCCTAGGTAATTAAATTAGAATCCACCAGATAATTTCCGAAAGCTGACTTAAGTAGGATTACTTGAGACAGAACAGGAATTAAGGCAGGACCACTAGTAATATTCAGGAAGATTTACTTACAACTGTCCAGAGGCTATGATGGGGTAAGCTTGCGGTTGGCTTAGACCAATCCTTTCAACAAGACTGGCCATCTGTTTGCCTTATATCAGAAAGTTGGACATTTTAAACCTGAACAGAACTATAATTTAGCCGTGAACTATACGCTTGGAGAGACTGACTTTGAGGCATCTACAAATTACAGTCAGTGACCGATCTCATGAAATGTTGGCTGAAATTCTGAAATGCGTTTTTGATTAGGAAGGGTTACTTGGTCGCGGTTGTGATACTGATTAGCCTGCGGCATAACCTTATAACATTTCGGACTCGGCAGGGTATCGGCTTTTGAATGCAATGCTTTTCGATCTCCTGTAGAAGCCGTACTCGGTTAAAAAATGACTACTTAAGTAGCATGCATTTTCCCATTGATTTTTGGACGGCCCTGCAAATTCAAATATATCTTATAGAAAGCATAAACAAAAATACGCTTTCTTTCAGTCAGTTAATAGAGAATCGCATCTTCTTTATATTTTATACTCAAGAAAGGAGTATAATTAGGTGTTAAAAAGTTTTCTAATTGCCGAATAATTTGCAGGCTAATCATTCGTTACATTAGAGCTTAGTGATTTCAGTCTACAAGGTGTATGCGTCCCGCGTACTGAGAATCACATATTTTTCTATGTCATTCAAAAGATATCATACAGAGTGCATAAAATCTTGCGATGGATGCGGACTACGTTGTAGATTTCATGAGGAGTTGCGGTAAACGTCGAGGTACGATGCTATATGAATAGACATTGCGAGGTCTTAAAAAATCCCATAATTAGAAGCTTTTTAAAATCCTAATTATACTTCTTCCTTGAGTACAAAATATAAAGAAAACGTGATTCTCTAATAACTGATTGAAAGAGAGCATATTTTTATTTCTGGTTTCTATAAGATATATTTGAATTTGCAAGACCATCGAAAATCAATGGGAAAAATGCATGATACTTAAGTAATCATTTTTTACCGAGTACGGCTTCTACAGGAGATTGAAAAGACGTGCATTTGAAAGCCAACATCCTGCCGAGTCCGAAATGTTATAGGATTATGCCACAAGAGAGTCGGTATTACAGCCACGTCTAAGTAATCTTTCCTAATTCGAAAAGTCATTTCAGAATTCCAGCCAACATTTCATGAGATCCGTCACTCACTGTAGTTTACATGAGAGTGAGACAAAGGCCTCCTCGAGGTGATGCCACAAAACTTTGATGGAGGTATCATTCCTCCTAGGCTTGATTCCTGTTCCAATCGAAAAGCGAAAAACCAAGAGGCCGACCTCATGACTGCGTGAGTCCGCATGAGATCTTACAAATTTTCGTGTACGCGCGTGGCACACGTTAGACAGTGGCTCATGCTACCGTGCCCAATCTCGTCACCAGTCAGCCCCGACAGGTCGCCAGTGAAAAGGAAACTAAATGACAGTGAGGATGATACAGCGATATCGTTGCCAATAGAAGCGAAGAGACGAGTACACAGACCGGAGGCAACCATCAGGCATCAAGTAATGAAACCGAAAGACCCACTGCCACGGCTAGAAGCGTCTGGAGTCTTTTATCGGAGCTGGTGCAGTTGCGGACAAAGCAACTGCGTCGGAGAAACCGGAAGGCAGCTCCGAACGCGAGTGGCCGAACACGCTGCAGCACGGCGGAGAAATGACGCCAGTTCTCAAGTTGCGGCTCGTTCGATGAGATCCGGCCACATTCAAATTCGACGAAGCCAAAATTCTCGCAAGAGGTGACAACCGCGTGAGCCGGGCGATACTTGAATCATGGTTTACTGGCCCCCAGTCTATTAACAAGTGCAATGAACTTCCCCTTCCATAGTCGGTGCTGAGACTTCGCCTAGGCGGAGTAATTAGCCACGCAGGACGCGCATAAGTGAACACTTTCACCAACTCCAGGGTCGGTGGATCATGGTGAAACTGCAGCAATTAACGACGCGAATATCGGCCATCAAACAGCCCTCACGCCATGTGCAACGCTTCCTGATGACGGGGGTGGGGAGCCGTGAATATTCATAGGTATGCGGTAGCATGGCGACTGCATCCTATGAATACTGCAGCCCCTTGTGCATGAGCCGCCCGTATCTGCTTTTGTCTCTGATAATGGGTTCGAGCAGGAATCCGAAACGTCAGGCTAATAAAGCTCTTATCCTAGCGATTGTATCTCCTTCTTCAAGAGGTATCGTTCTTCATAATAAAAAAAATTTGACGCCTGACGGTGTGACTAAACGTCGGGCTGTAATAACCCCTTCCTAATGCATCCTCTACGTCATCCGGACCTCTTCGAGACCTGCAGTTCGTCGTCAGCCACTGAACAGTGATGCGCTGAAGGCCAGATCGTGTGTGTGACAGTCGGGCCGCCTGGCTCTACCAGTCACTGACTCCAGGCTCATTCTAGCTGTCTCCTGTTCTTGTAACCACATTAACTTGAATCACAGCTCGGGGGACCGATCTATCTCCTCAGGCGACAATAATCACGGCCACGGTTTTAATTGCACAAAACTCGCCAGCAAAATTTTAGTGAGGAAAGATGGTAGAGGCCTTGTCTCATACTCCCTTCCCTCATTGTCGAGGATGAGTCTTGCCGACTGGAGATGATATCGGGGGCAGTGGTGTTAGTGAGACTGCCAGCCTGCCTGGCTCCTGTTTAGGCGTTTGACACAGAAGCGCTGCCCTACATCCCCGCCTGCATTCGAAAAAAACTCCCCTAGTGCACAGCGCGTAAACATAGGAACTAGCCAAGTTTTTTTTTCATTTAATACAGCTGGTTGTCACCGCCTTTGAGACGACTGCATCCCGAATTTGATGCACGAACCACCACCACCAGCAGTTCACCGTTTCCGTTGGCTGTCTGGCAAATTGGCTTATCAAGCAAGGTGTACTGGCAAGCATAAGGATGCCAAAGCAACTGTCTCTGACCTACAGTAAACGCGCTAACTCATGAAATGTTAACCGAAATTCTGAAATGCGCTTTCGACTCGAAATGATTACTCAAGTTGGGTTGTGATATTAATTACCATGCAGATAATACCAAGATATTTCAGTTACTTCGGGACGGCAGCTTCTAAACGAATTTCTTTCGGACCGCCTGCAAAAACCACTCTGTAAAAATGACTACTTAATTAGCAATAATTTTTCTCATTGATTTTCGATGCCCTTATAAATTCAAGTACGTCATAGAAAACATGGACAAACATATTCATTATTTTACGCATCTGGAATAAAATTACGTCTTTCTCAAAATGTGTACTTGGAGGAAGCTATAATTCGGTTTTAAAAAAGTTTCTAATTATGAGATTTTCTAAAATTGTGAAATGCCCGTTCGTGAAACAGCGTGTCTATGCATTTACTGATTTTGCTCGTAAAGCTTACGATATGGCTCAAATCCACTGCTACATTTTGTGAACCACATATGGTCTGCTCTTAATAGCGTATAGGGATGTATGACTTCTCGTACACGGAAAATATACAGCTTGTAGTTTTGAAACCTTGAATGCAAGTGCAACGGCTAGTCGGATTCAAAATTATTCAGGAATTGGAAGTTTTTTAAAACCGAATTATACTCTTCCTTCAGGTACAAAAATTGAAGAAGACGTAATTCTCTTCCCAATGAGTAGAAGAATGAATATTTTTGTCCATGTCTTCTATGAAGGCGTCAAAAATCAATGAGAAAAACCTATGCTACTTAGACAGTCATTCTTGCGGAATTTACTTTTTGCAGGCGGCCAGAAAGAAGTTCGTTGTGGTGGTGGTGGTGGTGGTGGTGGTGGTGGTGGTGGTGGTGGTGGTGGTGGTGACGGTGGTGACGGTAGTGGTAACGGTGGTGGTGGTGACGGTGGTGGCGATACTGTGCGCAAACCAATTTACCCTGGCGGGAAGTCTCAAATGCTGAGGAGGAGGACGACCAGGACACATAGATAGGTCGACTTACCAGGAGGAGGATACACAATGGCGTACTGATAGCCACATGAGCTGCACAAGACGGGAGTGTTGAGACTGTTCTGCTGTTTCTCATCTATCCACTTTTGAAGGCACGATTGGTGCACCCATTTGCAGGATCCACAACATCGGCACGGCCGAATCCAGTCCTGGGGGGCCTCTGCCTCAGAACAGTAGCAAACCCAACAGAGGGTATCTGGTGGTACTGGGGAGGGCTGCGAGGAGACGCGCACGTTTTGTGCGACAGGAACGGGTCGTGGGGACCGCGCTCGAAAACCCGTAAATCTCCCCTAAGGGTGTGGTGCAAAAAAGCAACGTAAGCGTCAGAGTGTAGATGGTTATGGTCTGGTTGCAACAGCAGCAGTTTTAGAGCAAAGAACACAGGCCGTATGCAGGCTGTCGGGTGTATGGTGTTCTTTCAAGCTCTCCAATTGTCACATAATGATTCCTATGGGAATGCTGCACTCCCTCGAGAATAAAATAATGTGCATGTCTAGAAGTTTGCGGCAAATACACTGCCGACTGAAATGGTTAGTCTAATTTGCAGTCAGCTGACGGTCATTGACCGGCAAGGAACAGCTGGATTAAAAGGCAGGAATGGTCGTTCCGGCATTCTTTGTCTCGGTCGGCAACAGTCGTCGACTACTGATCGATCACCGCCATGCGACAGCCCGCAAGGGATCTAGGCCGGCGGTATTCTGGGGAAGTGGAGGGACGGTATTCCGCTTCAAGTCAACGAATGCCAGTAGCTTGTGACCGGTGTTACAGAAAATCAATTCAACCCAGGAACTTTGTTGGCTGAGGTGGGAGCTTTTGGTGAATTCCACTCAAAAAAACCTACCAATGCTTGGACTTTGACGCGCTACATGTCAGGGGAACAAAATTTGGGACAGAGCCAACTAGACCACTTTTGCAAGTGCTTAGTCAAGTGTCGAATTCGCAGAGCTTGACAGAAAGCAATATTTATATACGGTACATTTTAGTTAGTTGCAAACCAGAGAATTAATTGTGGCTGTAATTGGCAAGAGAGATTTTTTAGGCAGTCTTCCACATATCGCGGCTAGGAAACCCTTCTGTATTGCGTACGTATGATTAGTGGACCTTAAAACTCTGCTATCTTCTACATGATGTGAGGCAGTCGGTAATGGACTGCAGACGCACAAAAGTTAAGTGCTTTACACGACTGATGTGGGGAATGAAAACGACGTAGGGTGCATTGCAACCACCACTCTCTTTTGTCCGCCAACGCGCATCTGTCAACAATATCCTGTGAAAATTTAAGACTGTTGTAGTTGTTGGAAGTCTAAAATGGTGGCCAACCTAAGCCTCAACTGGCAGAGCACATGTCCCCGACTCAATTCGCAGAGCATTCAGATCAATGGTTAACCGAAATGGGGTTTAGACCTCCACTTCTCTCAGCCTGGATTGAGGTATATATGGCAAGGGGGAAACCATCAATTAGCCAGAAATTCTCATTCTGACTTCCGTTGTTCTTCTCGGTTAGGCTTCCTATAAATTTAAACAGCATATAAATTGCACGAAAAGGCGTTATTCAAACTACTTCGGGCAACAGGAAGTGCGGTCAGTTTTGTGGCTCATGACCTTCCGAAAATGGGGGATTAACTAGGCAAGTTTTTGAAGTCAAAAATCGATTACTTTCAATTATTACATTCTAAAAAGGAAGTCGTTAACATTGATCGCAGAAAGGCGCTGTTTCAATCAAAGAAAAATAATTTACCTCATGCAAGCACCAAAAGCGGCTAAAAGATGTAAAATTGGTCCATGACTCAGAATAGTCCTCAGTCACAGGCAGCGTTCAGCCGCAAAATGAATAAACGAGTAGTCCTGTTCCACACGTGTTTGTGTTACGGTTAACGTTGTAGACTGTCAATTACAAGGGCATAACGGACGTTCAAATTAAGCATTGCTGTACAGTGTCGGCCGAGTTTTAATGACAGTGATTGAAGAAGGAGTAAATTAAACGGATTCTGACTCGTGAGGAAACCGCACACTCCCAATTTAACTTTGTCTAGATTATTGTTAAGGAGTCCCGGTCTCTGGGTTACAATCCCAAAAAGTTATCATTATCGACATCGACTTCTTTAATTAGGGAATATCTGGAGAGGTGTGGTGAGCCGCCTTTTCTCCTAATCGGACGGAATTTTGGATGGGCAAAGGAAAAAATTTCGTCTGCAGACTCCCAACCCTAATCCACAACATCCGAAGAGCACACAACTTTCACCCAACATCGGTGAAGACTTTAAAGATATGGCCACGTGCCAGTCACCCTGCAGGAAAACCAGGTGAAAGACTCTGATCGCCAAAACACGAAAAGGCGTTATTCAAATATCTTTGGGCAACAGGAATTACTGTCAGCTTTGAAGTTCATGACCAGGCACAAATGAGGGATCAATTAAAAAGATGAAGTAGACAAGTTTTTAAAGTCGAAATTCGATTACTTTCAATAATTGCATTCTAAAGAGGAAGTCGTCGAACAGTGATCACAGAAAGGCGCTGTTTCAGTCCCAGAAAAAATTATTTACCTCATGCAAGCACGAAAGGCGGCTAAAAGGTGTATAAACGAAGGTGTAGAAATAGTCCATGATTCAAAAAAGTCTTCAGTCACTGGAAGCGTGCAGCCACAAAATGAATACATGCGCCATCCCTGATCTCACCCTTCTGTGGAGCACACACTGGACATCTTCGACCGAGAGGATCCTTACTAAATGAATATGCGTTATTTCGACCGATATGACAGAATGGCGAGCATTTACTCAACTATGCAACCCGAAAGAACGACAGGCAAGAGCTCTATTGAAATGCGAGTCGATTGTGCCGCGGCTCGAATTAACACCGAGTAAGTGAACACCAGTTTCGCGCGATCTGAATGCATGACTCATAACCTAAAACAGGAGCTTGTAGGAATTGGTTGGACTCGAATTTTACACCGTCTCAAATTTGGGTTTGTGTGTGGCCGGAAAATAACAACGAACTAAACGGAGAACTTTTTAGTGGCCCTCTATTGACTAGTGTGCATAAACTGACCACTTTGCACTTGGGCAGAATTAGCAAATAGAACTCTCGAAGAACGCTGACTGGCAGTGCGCTCCAAGAAATAACAAGACAAGCTCGACTAAGTAAATATCTCTGACAGGCCCTGTAAACCGAAGCACGTCTTGAAATCATAAATTCAAGCAGGCTCATAACCGGACATTCCAATGCGGTTCTTCTGTGTGAGGTCTTTAAGATGATATGAGCTTTTCGAGACTGCCTTTAGAAGGAGTAAATTCGAAAGGTGCTCTGGACAAAAGATGCGAAAGTTTTCGTAGAATTTAGGAAACCGGAAAATCAAGTTGGCGACGGTCGACCGGGCCTTGGATTCGTGTGAGTATTTTATACTCGTGGTTGTGCCCGTAAGACAGGTCACGCGGTAGCTGCGCTGGACCAACATGGGGGCAAGACCGGATATTGGTAGACGTTGTCGGTAAAGAGCACCCGTAACAAATGCCATCATTAGGGTGTAGCGACATGTCTAAATGCCGACTCACGTCGCGATGTCGCGTCACTGTGGATCCCTGCTGCCCACCTAGTTTTTTGTGGTATAAAATCCTGATCAGTGCCAGTGATTACGTGCGGGTCTACGCCATGCCAGCCACCTGCGTCTTCTCCCGTCTTCGGTTTGTTTGACTCTGTCTTGACATTGAGTCCAGGTGGTGGAGGAGAGAGTGCGGTAGACCACAAACTAATTTACGCCCAAGTCGCCGTCCCTGATCTCATCCTTCTGTGGAGCACACAGTGAACATTGTCCAAATTGACGGTTGGACAGTAGTCACATACTCATGTTTGATAGGATTCCAGGGAAAACAGACAAAATCTCCATTATTGTAGACGACTTATGTCGACTTCTCCACAGAGATCAATATGGGACAAACCTGGTTGACTCCAGCGTGAGGGCCTGATATTTAGAGCGGTAACAAAACGAACCCCGTCTGGTAAAATAATGACCATCAGTTTAAGAATTTGGTTGGGGGGAAAGTTCAAAACAGACAGACGGGAGTGCTAACGTACAAGAGCAGTGCCAATGAAGAAAATAACGGAAAGTCGGTAGGCCTGGCTAAATGGCGCATAAAATAGTAGGCCAGCCATGCCGATTAAAAGATTAGTACTGACCTATCAAAGCAAGCACAGTCCTCCAGCTACTTATTTAATGAACGAAAACAAAAGTATTTTCATGTATCGGAGGGTGGTAGGAGAAAAAGTTACAGTCACGATGAATCAAGGGCTCTCAGGTTGCCATCCGTTTTGGCAAATTCGCCAGTCTGAAAAGTGGCAGGACAAAAGTGACAAGTCCAAGGAAGTTAGTAGGAAGGAAAAAATGTGGATGGCAGCCGTCAATTCTGAGAGGAGTCACGTCAATGTGGGCATCTAACCAGTTAGCCGATTATGATTCACCCCAATCTAGAGGAAAGGAAGAGATTGGTTCCCAGTCGCAAGCACGCCATTAGGAGTCCAGGTGTTCCCTAGATTCTTGATTTGAGCAAACTCTTAATACCTGAAATGACAGTCGGCACTCGCTAATGAGCATGGCATGGCTGGATCAAGGCGGTCCAACAGCCCTATTGTCCGAGAAAAGTTTCTACACGTAATATCAAACCATAAGAATGTCCCTCAAGTACATAACCTTACCGTATATGTGAACGAGGACTCCTAAAATTCAGTAACAAGCTGTTGGTAGCTGAGCCTAGCCCGAGAGGGCCACGCAGCAGATTGATTACAACCGTGATATTGATGACCGAATATGCGTGTGGCGGAAGTAGAGGCCGACTGATTGAGCTTCTGGTTTCGCCTTACTAATGTGAAGAGAGAGTGAAAATGGTGTGAAAAGCTGACACGAGCTGCTTTGTAATGCTGGATTACACAATAGACCGCGGAAAACTGTTATCCTCTCCGCATCTGTCTGAAGTCCTAAGCTTCCCTCGTCTCGGCAAGCGCGCGACTTCAAGGAATCGTGAAGACTGACCTATTATATACGCCCTTTGCGGTCCTATCACTCTTACTATACTGCTCTCCTTATAATTATCAACATCCACTTGACAAAAATCTTCACACATAGCGCTACCTTTTTGGATTATTGTCAGTCAAAGTGATCCTACGGAGGCGAATGATCGGGTTCCGGGTCCGTGCATGAACAAGGAAGAAAAACGATCACTTGAACTGGGAACAGTTTGTTTATTATTCTGAGTTTTTGAAGTCATGTGGCAATCTACTGTCAGAAATGACAACGGCAACATAAAGCCAATGGTTATAGGGGGTATTAGCCGATCATCAGTCAGTGACGAAGGTCTGGAAGTGGCTGTGCAGAGTTCTGTATTGTGGCACTAGATCGATTCACTGACTGCCTGTGTCCACATCCGCGGCCCAAGCTCCAATCGATTCTTAGCCAGTTGATGTTTGTGTATGCGCGATCCCAGCGTGCGTCCAGCCTGGACACGGGATGCAATACACTACTCCAGACTGTTTCGTAGCACCTAATCGGTCCTTGACTTTTGTGACAATGCTGCACATGGTAGCTTTGGGCTGTCGTGTGACTCCAACACCTTGTACAGCAGTGTGTTCGGTCACTCCTAGAGCATTCTTGATGTACATCAAAGCACGGACATATTCGTATGAGTCACCGGATAGGTGTTGTGAGAACTGGGAAGTTGCGGGTGTTCGTTGCTTTCCTGTCAACGCTCGTCTCAGTTTCGATGTTAGGGCATCGTCTGACGGGCACACGAACGAAGGGCAATTACTGCTCTGTCATACAGCAAGAATGTCTTAGAAGCGACCGAACGCATTACTGCGGGACTATATGCCGGAATTGCACACCAGTCCAAAGCTACCATGTGTAGCATGCTGATGCAAATGAAGGGCCGATTAGGTGCCAAGAAACAGTCTTGGGTAGTGTATCGCGTCTCGTGTCCAAATTGTCCTTGTAATTACACAGACCAGACCGGAAGAACGCTGGGATCGCGCACACACGAACATCAGCTGGCTGTGTGACGGGGCGACAAGTTATCGCAAGTGGCTGCCCACACCTTCGAAGCTAGCCATGACCGCAGTCACCAAGATAATCGCCCACGTTGCGTGCAAGACAAGCTGAGAATCGACTGAAACTTGGGCTCCGGATGCGGACTCGGGCAATCAATGAATCGAAATACAGAACTCTGCAGTCACTTCCAGCTCTTCGTAACTGACTGACGATCGGCTAATATCCCTATAACTGTTGGCTTTATTTTGCAGTTGTCATTTCTGACAATGGGCTCCTACGGGATTTCAAAATCTCAAAATAATAAAACAATTGATCAGATGCTCGATTGGCCTTCTCAATTCTCAGTTATCAATAATACCTACAGAAGAGGGGTGCGGTGGAACAGGGGATGTAACTACCGAAGGCTCTGGACACCGTTAATAATGCACAGACATAGGAATTAGTCTGTCATTAAAAAAATCGCTAAACACGTATACGGAACACGCGGGAGGAACGCAACACAAATTAAAGAACACCCAAAAAGCTGTAAATATAATAAAATTAACCCCTAGTGGAGGCCCACAAAATATTGAGGGCAAGCTTTATTCAATAAACTGAATCAGAATAGGATGAGGATTTTGGGTTCTACAGCTACCCTGTGTGTTATTACTATTCTCGGATAGTCGTCAGTGCACGTTGAAGCGGTCGACGCAATGAGTGAACAGTCGGTAAAAGTGACTGTAGAACCTGTAAGACTTGTTCGATTTTAATTTGACGAGCGAGGGGCCAAAGTACTGAAGAATTGACACATATCAGGAACTCAAAAAGCACCCACCGTAGACATTACCGAAGAGCGAGCCTCAGCCCGAAAAATTCGAAAATGCCGCGCGGCTATAGGGTTTCTAAAAGGCAACTCAATGTACAGATACAGATTTAGTCGCAGATCGCGGGTTTCCGAGCAGCCGCAGCCCAATGGGTGAGGAGTAGTCTGGTTCTTCCTCTAAATGATCTTTAAGACGCGTAAACCAAACCATGCTGTAATATAGTGAGGCAGAAGGTTGAATAAACAGCAACAATAAGTAAACGAAAGCAAGGGGTGTTACTACAAGTACAAAATGCGTAACGAAGACCTGAAGATGCACAGACAGTCAAAAAGAGGAAACACTTCAGTAGCTGTCAGAGGTCCCGTGTAAGACGAAACAAGCGGCCTGGGCGGCAAGTAGCAAGCTAAGGAAAGAAATTAACAGAAAGCACACATTTTGGAGAAAATACTGCGTAACTAGGCAAATTTGGTATTTCAACATCTACAAGATTCAAATACACAAGATGACACGCATGCATATACAGACGTGCTGGGAATCTGAGGAAAATTTGCTATTAAAGTAACATAGAACCAAAAATTACTCTACAGTTACTAAAGAAGAAGTACAAGGAACAGACACCAAAGCCCCTTAATAAGGACCAACGGTGGCGTTGAGATTGCTGATAGCAGGGATAAAACTGCGTATGTTTTACAGTTTTTTCAAATCAGTCTACACAAACGAGGCAAGGTTCCTTCCTCCCTCCACAGAAAAACTGCCGACTCAATGCATAAGTAATGTACTTTTCTCAGGAGGTGTTGCGCTAAGACAATTTGAGGCACTGAACCAGTCGAAGTCGCCAGAACCAGACGAGATTCCACCCAATCTTTTCAAGGAACTTGCCAATTAGCTTTCTGTGCCTTTGTCGATACTCTTTAAACGTCAGTCAGTCAGTCAGCGTCAGTCAGTCAGTCAGTGTATTTGAGGGAAATAGGCTTACGCCTTTGAACTCCCTATTTGTACATAAAAAATCGATAAACAAGCAAAAATGTGAAGAAATTACAGCATTAAGTGAATGCATACATTGATTCACATATGTCACTAGTCACATGGTTAAAAAGTCACATAGTCCGCTTGTTGTTGCAGCATATATCTGTCAAGGCGACATTTAAATGTCTCCACAGATGGAGACATAACAACCGTCTCGGGCAGGTTATTCCACGGTTCCACGACACGGTTGGAGAAGAAATATTTTCTCACATTCAGTCTACCCTGTGGCACACGTAGCTTGAAGGGATGTCCCCGGAGGTGAGTTGTGGTGGCGAGTTGGAAAAAGTCATTGCACCGAAGGGCACAATCCAAGCCGCGCACGATACGGAAAGTTTGTATCATGTCTCCGCGCAACTGCCTATAACTCAGAGGATAGAGATTAAGGTTAGTTAAGCGGATCTCTTATGGCAGTGCACTTTGACCTCTTACTAATTTTGTGGCTCGCCTCTGCACCCTCTCGAGCAGATCGTAATCCTGGTGCGTCCACGGTCTCCAGGCCTGAATTGCATATTCGAGATGGGGCCTTATAAACGTGCCGAAGACTTTGGTGAAGCAGTCTTCATCGAAAACTACGAATGCCCGCTTGATGGCATATAGCATTGAAGTTGCGGCCTTGGCCGCCTTACAGCATTGTGTAGAAGGCTTTAGGCTGTCTGCAACCCAAACTCCGAGATCTTTCTGAGTTTCTGCTTCTCGGAGTGGCATTCCGTTCAGATGGTATTGCCGCGTACTAGGGCTCTGATTTCCGAGGCGCAGAATGGTGCATTTGTTCAAATTGAAGGACAAGAGCCATCTGCGGGACCACTCGTCCAACCGACAAAGATTTTCTTGGAAGTTGGTCTCATCGGCAGCATTCTGGATAACTTTCCAGATTTTTATGTCATCCGCAAACATGGCACAATCACAGTCCAACCCATCTACGCAATCATTGAGGAACAAGAGAAAGAGAGTTGGTCCGAGCACCGAGCCTTGTGGGACCCCACTCTCTATGAATGTGCACCTTGATTGCTGTTGTTCTACGCAGACAATTTGGGAGCGGCCGACAAGGAAATTTTCGATCCATTTGAGAAGTTTGCCACCGATGCCCATAATTCTCAACTTGTGTAGGAGACGCTGGTGCGGAACACTGTCAAACGCCTTCCGAAAATCAATATAGGCAACATGCACGGTGTGTTTTGCGTCCAGTGCTCGTGTCCAACTTTGCATTGTGTATAGCAAGTTCGTAACACATGATCTTCCCCTACGGAAACCATATTGTGTATTGGACAAGAGGTTGTGGGTTTCCAAGTAAGCCATCAACTCCTTTTTGATTGTTTTCTCCATCACTTTGCAGCAGATTGATGTCAGACTGACGGGTCTGTAGTTTGTCGCCTGAGCACGACTACCGCTTTTGTAAAGGGGTGTAATGTGGGCCGTCTTCCAATCTGTGGGAAGAATTCCAGCATCAAACGTCATTTGAAACTGGAGCAAAGGACGTAGCAGGGCATCGAGGATAAATTACAGGCCCATAAGACTGACATGCATTCTCCTCAAAGTTATGGTGAGAACCATGAAAAGTGAATTGATGTAATTCCTGGAAGTTCACGGCCTGTTATTGAAATGCCAGCATGGGTTCCAGAAAGAAAGATTCCGCACGACAAACCTGCTGAAATCTCTCAAGAGCTGGGCCCGAGCTCTCGACGACAGGCATGCGGTACACATAGCCTTCATCGACTTTCAGAAGGCTTTCGACACTGCGCCACACCAGAGGATCTTACATAAACTTAGAAAAATAGGGATCGGTGGTAACTTCCTTAAATGGATCGAAAAATTCATTTCGGGTCGACAACAGGTTGTGTGCACCGGTCAAGGAATATCGAATCCTGCTGTGGTTACGAGTGGTGTTCCCCAGGAGTCAGTACTAGGACCCATTTTGTTCCTTATATATGTGGACGATTGTGCGAGAGCTTTGGACTGCAAAGCAGGAATGTTTGTCTGACAGCATGAACATATGGCGTGTAATTCGGGATCCTGCCGACCAAGACAGACTGTAGATGAACCTAAATCGGTTGGAAGAGTGGTCAAACCGTTGACAAGTGTAGCATAATTCGCCTAGGCAACACAGCTCGATCCGCCAGCACAAGAGACTTTTTTCTGGGCGGTGCAGCATTACGAGACGTGGAAGCCCAAAATAAGCTCGGTGTTCTGACAACGAACTCAATAAAGCCATCATCTCATTGTTCGAGAGTGAAAATAAGCTCAATTTCCTCACTGTACGCCATCAAGCGTGTATTTATGGATTGTGATGAAGACGCTTTCTCAAGGACATTCGTGCGGCCGCACTTGGAATACGAAATATATGCCTGGAGACCGTGGGCTGTTCAAGATCAAAATTGCTTCGAAATGGTTCAAAGGAGAGCCACGAAGATGGTTAGAGGTCAAAACTCATGTCCCTATGCTACCCGCTTAAAAAATCTAAACCACCTCCCCTTGCTAACATTCCACATAGTGAAGGGAATGGACTGCAGATTGACCTTTGAGGACTTTTTCAAGTAGCTACCACGACCAACCTCCGAGGTCCCCCCTTAAAACTGCGTACTCAGCTGGCAAGTCTGGACGTACGGAAGTTCTCCTTCTCTCCCCGAGTCTCAAAACTATGGAATGCCCTCCCTGCAGATGTTTAAATGTCACCATCCGTACAACATTTTAAAAATAACCTTGACATATTTATGTTCTGAAATGACCACACAGATGAGAGATCGAGCCTCAATCTGAGACTCAATCCCACTTTGTCATATCATTATGGGCTTAATTGAATTTTTTCAGTCCAGATAATTTCCTTGTATTGCTCATCCAGTTTTACGTTGTAAAGAGGGTACTCAATATCATACGCCCATGTCCCTCAATAAACTGAACTGAACTGAATTGAGCCTTGAAAGAGTCTCGACGACTAACTCAAACCACCGCCCAACAAGCCTTACCGGCGTACTCTGAGAAAGCATCACAGAAATTATTCGTGACATGCTTTAATGTTATCCTTAGAATCCAATACGCACGACCTACTGTATGCATTTTCTGTTGTTTCGAAGGATGAGGAGGAGGAGGAGGAGGAGGAGGAGGAGGAGGAGGAGGAGGAGGAGTAGCTCCATGAGTAAAATCCTACTCGAATAAACTATGGGGTCTGACGTTTTCGTTTGCTCTTTCATCGCCAATGGTCCGCTATTTTGTTATTGTGCATGTACAAGTAAATGTCCTCGAAATGTACCAGAGAGTTCTACTGCATTTTTTCCATGGATCCTGTGAAGTCTTCTAGTTTCATACTCACAGTTATCAAGTTTTCCTCAACCTCCAGTTAGTCGAGCGCGTATTTAAAATTATTCTTTCTTTTAGGGGCGGCCAGCATTTCCCTGTTTATCGACGTCCGCCGATCGCTTATTTATGCGCGAGTAATTCTTCTTCAGTAGCGAGCTGAAATTGCTTCAGTATTTGTTAGCTGATCTGTGCAACGCGGCTGTCCAAGACAGCATGAGACTTTCCTTCCTACGCGGGGGGAATCTCCTTCCTAAGTATTTTTATTCGCCTTTTTAGAAGATTCGATCTGACCATGCATGGACTATTGCAATAGGATTACTGGATTCTCTTGGCGAATTATCTCGTATTTCCTGATCAATACCCCCCATCCGTATAAGAACAGAATATAGGCCGTTTGGGCTCCATTCTTCCATAAAGTAAGCTGCTTGGTTTGCGGCATATCAGAGCGATAGAAAGTCAGACACAACCAGCGTCGGCAATAGGTCTCGTTTAGCGGTTCTTAAATTTAAATTTCAGGGTATATTTTACTATACTTTGCGTGCAATTTACTTCAGTCAAGCAACCGATTAATTGCCTCATTCATGATTATAGTAGCAGGGCGTGCACAAATGGCGTCGCGTAACTCACTGCTCTCCCTCAAACCCCTCCAGCAGATGCACAGTGGCGCGTAATGCTATTTTGTCCTACTCACCCCTAAACCCAC